TCCAAACGCACAGGGCGCCAATTTATCAGATGCAGGATTTGTGCTCCTGACAATAAAGGATCAGCTTCTTGCCAACGATTCAAGGTAAAGCCAGTAATACGGCTTGGTAACCTTTAATTCTAGGGCTGCCTACTTCCTCCAAGAATTCGTCAGTCGACCAATCAACGGCGTCGATTTGTTACTCAAAATCGTTGTGGTTTTACAAGGAATTGTCAATTCATCCGTCCGAGAGCAACAACCCTCTAAATTATCAACATTATTAGCGAGGAACAACACAAATAATACAAACCGAAAACGAAAAGCTGCTGTAAGTCGTTATCCCGTCGTTTTGAAAATGTTTTTTTAGGTAGCCGAGGCAGACTGTATAGAATGTATAAAAATATTGTTGGAGAAGAATGTAAGTTGATGCTATCAATTTTAAAACCTAAAACTTAATTTCTAGCCCGCTGCCTGGAGAACAATTCTCGAACAACCCTCCGGCCTAGAAGTTATTTTATATTCCGTTAATAGCCCGCAGCTCGACTCGAAATGTTATGCATTGGAGGTAAGGATAATGGGATTTTATCTTTGGTTGGCGTACACTTGGCTACTATAATTAAATTTTGTATAATTCTATTAACCTGAGGCGTTTTTAGATCGTGCTGCTCCTCCTGGATCAACCCCAGGGTTTTATCGTGCTCTTTCGGGCGCTGTCTGTGATTTCAGCGCGTACGAGGGACTACGTCAGGCTACAGATTTTTGTCAGCCAGCTGAAGCATGGATTACATACGCAGAAGCTGCATATACAGGTAGGCACGAACATTTTTTGATTTTAAAGGAGCAGGGAAGCGGGGGAGTCGTCATAATTCGCTTCGGGAAACATAGGCGCACACGCGTGATTTGACGCGTCGCGTAGCTATCGATACCTAGCCAATGCAGGGGGTCGATTTTCGCGTCTAATTACCTCTAAAGTCTTGATTTTTCCGGTGTTTGAGGATCTTTGGAGATGAAACAAAAATTCTACCTTCCAGATCCTAGTCTGCCGCCTCTTCAACAAGCTCCTCTCCCGGTCCCCAACCCCGAATCACCGGATGTTGGCTCAAATTGAGGCTACCCTGGCCCAGTTCTCGGCCGAATACGTTGAAAAGGTATGTAGCGACGCAACCCTAGTACCTGATATTGCAAAAATCAAGCCATTTCCCATTAAATTAGATGCTTCAGCTCGTGTTGGAAGTGACAAGCCCACTTGGCGGGATGGATACCTTGATGGAGGAGTTGGCACTGTGGAGATCGCAGCTCATCCCGATTTCTCTCACACCAACTCGATTTGCACACCAGGATACCTTGACGAGCGCGAACTCGACGAGTATTTATGGGTCAGTTAATATAGCAAAAAAAATTACGATATCGCGTTATCACCCGTACATTTTAACCATTTTTTAGCTACAACTACTCCGAGACAGAGTCCGATACCTCCAGATCAGACCGAGGGAAGAGGAGAAGTGTCTTCCAAGCTAATAAATTCCCGGTAAGCCGATTATGATGGGTATTATTGAAACATAATGTTTATTATATCAATTATTTCTCTATTCAAACAATAAAAAATCTATTTTTCTACACTTTAGAGCCAAGCAGCCGTCGCCAAAAACGTAGAAAGAGCCAGACAAAAGCGACAAGGCCCCGGATCAGGAGGTCGAGCTGCCAACGGTCCGACCGTTGACCATCAACGCTTCTACCCCAATCGATCAGCCCTGACATTAAATAATCGGGATTGGGAAAGTAGGGATGGTAAGTAGTTGTAGTGATTGCAGAGAAACGATATTTTTTCAGATGAATATGGAGATTACCACACGACCACTCGACCGGAACGAGTGATTTCACCGGGATGGAAGCCGGAGGGTGGGATGCAGGAGGGCTAAGAGTGAGAGTGCGATGTTGATCGATACGGAATTGGCGGAGAAGTAAGGACCTAACGATTATTCTTAGCGGATATCTAGAAATTTTGATAGCCTACAAGGCAGCTACAAAAGAGCCTCAAAATTTCAGTACCAAGGGACAGATAGCGCAGGTAAAAGCGGTGTGCATAGGAGCGCCGTGTTGTCCCGGTGTAAATACGCGCTGCTGCTCTGCCCAAATGAGCCTCTCAATCGCCGTTTTCCAGCAACAACACTCTCCGTGGCCTCAAACGAGTGGATCCACTCGCTTCTGAATACCACCCAATCGAGAACGTGAAGCCCTTGTCCCGGTCGACGCATGATTTGAGCAGGATAGCCAGGGACGAGCGGATTATTGATATCCAGAGGCCGGGATCGGCAGCCGCGCATACAAGGAGCTTACAGAGGTGTGTCTTATCTCAATAAGTCGGGGAGAAAGGCGTCCATTACATTATAACAACTACCTTCAGGCCCTTCTCCCCGCAACGAGCCCGTTTCGCGGACCCTCCCACTATAGACACCACGCATGAGACGACACAACCACACGCTGGATTTTCGTACTTATTCCCGTCGCAGCCAGTGGTGTCCCAGGTCCCGAAGCGAGGCACGACACCGGAGCCATATTCAAATGTGAGTCATCACATTTTCAAATCTGCATAAACGCTATTTTTCAGCAAATGAGTCCGATAAACGGAACGTTACGCCCACCTTCCTCGGCCTATTCTGGGACTACAATGAGTCCGAAACCGGTGAGTCGCTCTTTATTTCTTTGTCATTTTGCTCTCGTATCTCGCTCTCACTCTCTCACTCGCTCTCACTCTTCTACTTCATAAAATTAAGACATTGAACCCAATGCTTTTCTTTCCAGTCCGAGACTCCAAAGTACATCACCGAGATGAGGGACGGCCAAGTGGTCTACATCCCGATAACACTGGAGAATGAGCGGAGACCGTTGAGCAGGTAAGGTAGATGGATTTTATGGGACGAAAGATTACATGATTATGATCTGATGATGAACGTTAGATGATTGAGACCTAATCCAAATTTTTACAGATTCAGCCGAGAGCCCGACTACGACACTTCGACCGGTGGCTCCCGTTCCCGTATGCGCAGCCCATCGCTTGGCGGTACTATCGGTGTGGCTTCACTAACAAATCCTTGGTTTAATAAGTTGAACCCGATTATTATAATTAGTTTACCTTGTTTAATTAACGAATTTAGTGCCGATATATGAATAGCAAAACGCTCAATTTTCCAAAATAATCTGGGATTTTACCTTTTTCAGTTTTTCGCTCAATTTCACCCCGATATACCCCACACCCAAGTCACCCTTTTGGTTTATTAAAATGCACTTCGATACCGCTGTGGTATTAATTTAGAAAAACCATAATTAACAACCTTTTTCAGGTGAAGATGTCCGAGATGCTCTGTCCCAATTTGACTACCTAAATGACTATGATGCGGCGAGCCTCCGAGGTAAAACAACAGCCACCTACCATTTCTAGAAATTTAAAATTTATTCATTTGCAGATTAAGATTTTTTGAGTTTATGGCGATTTTCTTTGTATATCTTTACTTCCAAATTGATCCAAGACACGTGCTCCCGGCTTTACCTTTTCCTTTTTGAACCCTTTTTTTGCTTTTTTTTGATAATTATCGGAACCCACTGACCGATGCTATAGTACAATTTTCGCATATATTTTTATGTTTTTGATAATTTTCTCATTGTTGTTCCATTATTGCTCAAATTACCACCATTATCACCTCGGTAGTGCTATTCGACAAAAGGCGAAAAACCCATCCTCGTGTGCCAATATTCAAATTGTGAATTTGAACGGTCCTTGAAAAGGGTCGAGAGTCGAGAGAGGATGTCGCAGAATAAATTATCTTTTTTTCGGAAAGTGCACTCGACATTCTTAACGCTATTAACAATGTTTAAACAAGGTGTGTAAATTGGCCAGAAATCGCAAAGCTACCATCACCACGTAACCTGAAATTTCATTCAATAAAACTCTAAGGTATAACGCGAAAATCTGTTAGTGTCACGGAAAAAAGAAGATTGAGTGTTAAAGCATCATTTTATCAAATAAAAATAGGATTCCGGATTTACGAATGCTATTAAAACGCAGTTAAAAAATTCGGCATTGTATCCGGCATTATCTGCGTTTCGGCTGTCTGCGTTTTGGCTGTCTGCGTTTTAGCATTCTGTGTTTTGGTTGTCTGCGTTTTGGCTGGAAATCTATCCGGAAGCATCGACATCCCATATTCGCTATTGGCTTTTCCCCAGGCCTTGACAACGGGCCGGGCCGGGCCGGGCCGGGCCTAAGGGGGGTCGCCCAGCCAGGCCCGGGCCCGGCCCGGCCCGGCCAAATCCAGAATTTCAGGCCCGAGCCCGGCCCGGCCCGGGGCCGGGCCGGGCCCGGGCCGGGCCGGGCCGGGCCTCGTCGGCCCGGTACTAAATAAGGCCAGGGCGGACCGGTCAAATTTTTTTGGCCTATGAGGGGGTTTTTGGATATAAATCGAAGCAATACTTTCGAAACAGTTTTTAACTAATTCTGTATAGAAAAACATTACAAACTTTCTGAAAACTATTTACAAATCTTTTGTTGCCGGCCAATAGTCAGGTCAACTACCGACAATTTTTGTTCGTTGTTTTTCGCGGTTGGCCGTTTTTCGGCTAAGATCTATAAAGCTGCTCCTGAAAATACCCTAAACCAGGTTGTAAACCATCGTAACAGTTTCTGCTTGTCCATTCAGGCCAAAAGCAAAATAATTCCGGCTTATAAACCTTCTAGAGCTTCTACAAAAACTACAAACCAGGAATGTCAATTACCCGGATACGGTCACGTATTGATTTTTTCTAACGAAAACACAAATTAACGAAAAAAAAATTGAAAAAAGGTGAACGAAGTCGAAAAAAAATAGTTTTTTGGTTCAAAATTCGAAAAATTTTCTCCGAAAATCATCGTCCGGGACTGATCCGGGCCTAGCGGGCCCGGCCCGGCCCGGCCCGGACCTCCAATTCCAGGCCCGGGCCCGGCCCGGCCCGCCAGGTTTGGACCCGAGCCCGGCCCGGCCCGGTCCGGGCCGGGCCGGGCCGGGCCGGGCCTCGGGCCGGGCCTTGCGGCCCGGCCCGTTGTCAAGGCCTGCTTTTCCCGCGAAGCTTCTGACCAAACAATGCGCTGACCGGCGCTTAATGTCAGTTTAACGTGGCGCGGCCAAACTTCAGCCGTATTCGGAAACTCAAAGTCTGCTGTGCAAAGCCGTTCGAGAACCGAACATCAGGCTTCGAATAAGCGCGAATAAGGGGTGTCAGGAGAATTTTTGGCCTTGCTGGGCACATATCACATTGGTGGACTGTGTGAAGGTCAATCGCGCTCGACGTTCGAAGTAAAGGTTGTTGCCGGATCAATTTATTAAAATAGTGAGTACGGTTTCCTAAGCAAGATCAGCCAGATGGCTTAAAAATCCGCGTGAACGAAGAGGTGAAGAGAAAAATACAGAACAAAAGAAGTTACGATATTCTTGTTGGTTGTCGCGATTCTCCGTTGCCAAAAATCGCGACCAAATCCGCTGCGTAAATCCCCGATTTTTAGACTGGCGATTCTCTAATGTCTGGCAGCAGCCATTGGAACGCTGGCGCCAGGCTTCACTCCACATTTCACCCTGCCACAAAAAAACTCGGCAACTTTGACGCCTCCGACTTTTCACGCCAGCCTATCGTTCAGATGTGCAAATAGGGTAGTGACTGGCACGAAAGTACGGGGCCGAACGCAAAAACTCGGATAAGATACTTGGGATAGTAAAGGTCGATTTAATGAAAGGTTTTACCAGCAAGAAAAAGGTTTTATGCGTAGAAAAGTAGCGAATTTTTGCTTTGTCGTAAAGTGGTAGATCAAAACGTAAAAGAAAGCAAATCATGTGAAACAGTGGGTAGCGTAAGGAGCGTTCAAACGTAGTCTGTAAATTGTGTGCTTTGTTTCGAATAACCCTTTGTTTATAACTGTTTGACCCCGGAGCCGCTTTTTACCACCTCCATCAATTTTGCAAGCTCTGCACTTCAGCAGCAGGGGAATGGAATGTGCGTGGGAACGCGGGTGGTGGTGGGCTGGGATTTGCGCGGATCTGTAAAAAACGGCGGCCCGAATTATTTGCACTTCGACCACACTTATTGCTATAAAAGGATTAGCGAGTCAGGCATCCATATTCACTTCAGTGGCTCAGCATCAGCAATGCAGACGGTCTTCTACCTCATCGCGCTCTTCGTCGTGGCTTGCCAGGTTTGTTTGGGAGGCTTTAGAAGTTGTATTCTTGAAATTTTCTTGAGGGATATGGTCTTTAGGCGCAACTCTCGTCTACCACCGACATGACGACAATGACGACTGGAACCGAAACCACAACCACTGGAGGAACGGACACGACCACCACGGCCAATACGGAAACAACGACGACTGGTGCTGAAACGACCACCACGGATGCCGACAGTTACTCGGGCAGCTGTGTTGATACTAACTCTAAGTAAGCCGTCGTTTGCTTACGATACCTTGGCCGATACAGCAGAGCGAGAGTGAGAGAGAAGAGAAAGGGGGAGCTATTGCTCGCGAGAAAGAGATCGCTAAAAAGGAAAACGTGGCCCGTCAAGCCTTACTTTCAGCTGCGCCACCTGGGTGTCGAACGGCTTCTGTACCAACACGGCCTACACCATCGAGCAGAGGGGACAGTACTGCGCCAAGAGCTGCAACCTCCAGCCGGCCTGCAGCGGCTCTGACACTACTTGCACTGATACGAGCAGCAAGTAGGTTCCGGAATATAAGCTGTAGTTAGAAGTTAGGCTACCAGTGGCAAATTAGAAGATACTTTCCACCCAGCATCAGTGTAGTCAACCCATTTTTCAGCTGCGCCAACTGGGTCGCTAACGGCTTCTGCACCAACACCTTCTACACGAACGCTCAAAAGGCCCAGTACTGCGGCGCTAGCTGTAACTTGTGCTCGTCGAGTGGCGACGATTCTTCATCGTCCTGCACGGATGGAAGCACCAAGTAGGTTTTCACGAGAATTTGGCGAATTCCGCGTCAATCACGGTGTCAAGAAACGCCGATTAATTACTTTTCTTCATAAATCAGCAGTAGCACTCTAAATTTCAGCTGCGCCAACTGGGTCGCCAACGGCTTCTGCTCTAACACTTTCTACACCACCGCCCAAAAGACGCAGTACTGCGGCTCGAGCTGCAACCTCTGCTGAGCCGCCCCCAATACCGAGCCGCCCTTCTAATAACCAACCGACTTGGAATAAATTATTTTGCGTTCTGAGTGTGTTCGTATTAACGGGAGATAGGTGCCTTTCTTCGACATATTCGGGCGGATCGATTGATAAAACCACCTTATCAATCGTGTGTTTCACGCACTAACGATATAGCTAACGAAATCGGATGCACCTATTAAAAACACGAAGAACTTGGTTTTTTTTACTTGCGGTTTCCCAAAATTAAGTCAGAAAACCCTACTAGCCCATCGTTTTTCGATGTACACCGTGTGTGCGCAGCCACCTGGTCGCGCCAATTTTTTTAGGACAAGTGGATGGAAAGCTTCAAATTGTTGCGTGATTTGCTTTGCTTGTCGCTATGTACACGCAGCGTCCTCTTGGGATCAATCCTGCCCTTGGATTGAATTAGCTTGCACTTGCACCAGGACTCGATTCCAAACCGCGAATTTGGCAGATCGAAAAACATGCTAGGCGTAGGGCAGCAAATTTAGGGCTCGTGATACGCACGGTTTTCATGTTGAAGAATTTGAGACGAACTACGACAAAGAAATCGGTCAGTTGCTAATACTAGGGAGCCAGTAGACTCACTGTAAAGTGTTTTTACTCAACTTGGAGTTTCGATTCGGGACCAAGCGCATCTTGTGCAGAATTTTTCGCTGATTCCGAATATGTTTTCCAAATTTGCTACGGAATGTTATTTAAAAAATCATTTTTGGTAACAATTAGGCCGAAAAATGCCAAAAATTCAGACACTGGCCCACAATTCCTTGTTTGGGGCTATGGTTCCCAGGGGCCCTGAAGTACCCTCTGACAGCACCCTACCCAGTTGGCACCATGGTGCATTGGCAAAGTACTCGCTTATCAAGGGCCGGGCGGCGGTTCGAACCCCCGCCCTGCATCATTTGTTTTGCTTTTTGCATAAAAATCTCATTTTTTAGCTAAAATGCTTGTTTTGAGCGGTAGGATGCTTGTCGAGCCAACGCCTAGTCAATTTTGACGTTGACATTAATAGAAGAAAATCGAAAACTATAACGATACCTTCATTTTGGTGAAAACTAGGGTCATAATTACCGTATAACTTTCAGAATCACGGTCCGTAGCAAATTTGGAAAACAGCCCCCGGGGGGGGGGTCGGCCCGGGCCCCCTTTGGATTTGGGAATTTTCAAAAATTTGAATGGAATCCCGGGGGGGGGGGGCGGGGGGGGAAGGAAAAGAAAAATATATATAGTAGATATTCGGAATCAGCGAAAAATTCTGTGCAAGATGCACTTGGTCCCGAATCGAAACTCCAAGTTGAGTAAAAACACTTTACAGTCAGCTCTAGTCTCCGAGTAACGGACCAACATTCATAAGTGACCTGTGGTAAAGGCCTCAATTGCACATACTCGCTGGGGTGCCGGCTAGAGAGATCCCTTGGAACGGGGTTCTTTTTCGAGTCCTGCAAAAAATTGGTGAGAGGATTCAGTCCTGAACGCCAATCTGGAGCGACCCAAATTTTCATAAGGTATGGAATCCATCCGGAGCCGTGCAATGACGTGGTTAAAGCTTCAATTTTTACAATATCAGCTTTTTAACGGTTCTTTTAATACTTTTTCGATTCGATGTTTTTAGCCGGGATGGGCCGGTTGGTACACTTAGGATAACGGGGGTCACTCAAACTTTTTATATGATAAAAGTATTTTTAAATATGCTTTTTTCGGGCTGTAAAAAAACTCTTAGTATATTTTTCGGTCCTCTATCGAATGGCATTTTCAAAATATCGAAAATATTCAAAACGCCGAAAAAATTTTCCCCCCCTGTTATCCTATGTGCTGCCCATAGTTTTTAAAAATAGTTTTTAGGCTATAAAACTTTTATAATACATTTTTTCGCGTTGTAAAAAAATCTCTTAGTATATTTTTTGATGTTCTATCGATTCGCGTTTTCAAAATATCGAAAATCTCAAAAATTTGGCTTTCCCCCCGTTATCCTATGTGCTGCCCATGGATTTTGGTCAATTTTTGTTTATTCGATAAAAAATTTCATTTACATTATTTCGGGCTGAAATTAATTTTCCTAGGGCAGTTTTCGACGCTTTACCGAATGACGTTTTCAAAATACCGAAAATTTCGAAAATTTCGAAAATTTGACTTCCCCCCCGTTACCCTATGTGCTGCCCATAGATTTTCCTTAATTTTTGTTTATTCAATAAAAAATTTCCATTACATTATTTTGAGCTCAAATTAATTCTCTTAGTATATTTTTCGCCGCTCTATCGAATGGCACTCGCAAAATCCCTCAGTAATTGCAAATTTCATAATAATGAGTGCCCCCCGTTATTTTATTCCCCCCGTTACCCTATGTGTACCGGCCGGCTCATCAAGTCACATTCACAAGTGCTAAATGCACCGGGATTTATGTTTCATGGATTCACTGGCATCTTACTATTTTGCTAGTTTCGTGGGTCAGGGTCCCCGTAGTCCTTATTTTTATCCATGAGCAATTTCTTTTTATAAGTCATCGATAGTAACTCTCAAAAACGGCTTTTTGGCTAAAACGACATTTATGGTCTAATGAAACGCTGTCGGTGCTGTGCGCAGCCTGTGCAAACCGGAGCGCTTGGTTGGAATCTGAAGGTCAATTTTGGCCTCGCGACTCCCGATCCAGGCACTGCCATGTACAACTTGACATCAGACATACGCTCAAGCTAAAAATTTTTGAAGCTATGAAGCCTTTTTATGCTCAACGAAAACCGACAGAGGTCGAAACCATTCAGGCCGGTACACCTTTTGTATGTGAGGTTTGGTTTGAAAAATCTCAAACGGTCTTTTTGATACGTTTTGTTGCACCCTGTTAGCTCACGTTTTCTCTCGATAAAAAATTTAAATTTACAGCGCTTGAACCTTGTTTTCACCATCATTGCACATTTATGTGTCTTTTGCTGCTTGGCTCTGCTGGACGACTTGGCTACATGGAACTCGGTCCTAATTACAGTAAGTTTACTTATGAGTATTTTTGTCTTCCCTGCCGTGTTCAGTGACGATTTACTTATTTTATTAAATTTTAGATATTTGGAATTGGGTTATATCCCTTACAAATCCGGCAAATGCTTGTGGGTTGCCGCGACTTGGACCAGGGTACTGCATGGATTTATCGCTGTGTTATCGTGAGTCGATTTTCCTGAAACCAGCGCGAAGGGCAATATTTCCGGCACGAACCCTTGTTGCAGGAATTATTTTAGCACACATAGTGAAAATGTAGACAAGAGAGCTATTCGCTTTTCAGATTAGCCAGCTTGCCGCTGAAGCCATTTTTCTCATGTGTTCCATCGAAAATTTGGGAATGAAGGACGACGAACTGTAAGCAATTACATTTTGTCCTACAAGGATATCTCTAGAATTTTCTGTTTTGGACAACAGGGTCTAACCATGCTAACGAATTTCATTGGCACTGCTGGGATGGTGAATGGTTTGTTATCAAGAAATCCCAACCATTGCCGATTTAGCCGTTGGCCTCGCTACGATTCACTGCTCAAAGGGCCAAGAAGAATACGAAAAATGTGAAAACACGCTTAGGTAAGCAATTTTTAAAAAGATAAAAATAAGATTGTAGCGCCGCTATAAACTATGAGGCACCAGATGAGCCATCTTATCCATTGGTTCATCAGATTTCATGCAAGACCTTAACATAAATGCATAGATCAGAATTGCGGACGGCTAGACACAACTGAGTGCGTCACCCCCTCTTGACAAAACCTAGTCAAACCTTTCATTCAAAAAAGAAATGTCAAATTTCGAGACGAGTTGGGCTAAAATATTAAATACCGCCAAATGGCGCACAGCCCTGCAACGCCGTTTTTGCAGAATGCCGGCATCAAAAATATCGACAACAAAAATGCCGACACAAAAAATTTTCGATATAGACGTTAGCATTGCATTTCAGAACAAAACCTCCCGTCGGCATTTTCGCGTTTCGGCATTTAGCACGTCGGCATTTTCAATTCGGCATTCTGACAGTTGTTATATTGCGCTTGGTGAGCCGATAGGCACTTTGGTTGTTTGCCGCTGATCGAAAAACTGGAAACCCTAACAATCCCGAAATACCGAAAAATACCGTCATTTTTCACTATTCGGCATTATAGCATCTAGGAAATGGTCGGCGGTGCTATTCTAAGGTCATCACAGGCCCGTTTGGAATCCATGGGTGCGATTTTTCAAATTTCGTTGATCTTGTCCAGCTCGGCTTTATTTGAATATGTTCAAATATATTTGAATCGGAGCGGAGGTGGTTCCGTTATTTGACCGATTATTTGAATAATTTCCGGGATGCCTTCAAATAATTTATTTGAGCGGGCTCGAATATATTCAAATAATTATTCAAACACGACACACTCTGGACACAACCAAACAAATCAAAAGTCCATGCCATCTGATAATTTGACACACTGAATAAATTTCTGAATCCGTGCCTTTTTGGAGACGACGTGAGCGTTTTCAATGGATATCTCAACTCGATCTTACAGACTTACAAATCTGACAGTATGTTGTCGTTTCCCTGCCAAATTCCCAGTGCGCAAGCCCGTAAATAAAATAACTAGCAACCGAGAATTACATACGTACCTTTTCGCCTTAATCTTGCCGCGCCAATTTTTTGGGGTCGGCAGTCGATCTAAAGCTAAAATGTAGTTCACAGCGGGTAGTTTCCAAAATACAGTAACTGAATATCAGCTTCATCGGAATATCTGAACATAACAAATATCAGCCTCGAAAAAGATTGCCATCAGAGCTCTTCCGAAGTTCTTGATTGGTTTCGAAACGATTACGCTAAGTCAGGGTACGAAGTTGTAGTGGCCGTTGAGATTGGGACGGACGAACGTTTGGACGACAAAAGTGGAGATAAAAGCCATGTTCCTGGCCTGGCCGCCGAATGGGTCCGGCCGGCTGCGCAAAGAAGCGGTGTATGCGCTTCAAAAAGGTGACCTTTTTCGGGTTGCGCGTATTGTTAGGTGTTCAACGGTCGACAAGATCGGGTCGAACATCAAAGCGCTGACAGCAATGGAAACCAATAGTTCTTTGCAAAAAAACTCGAAACAGTGCTGCTTCCTCATTGTTTTGGGAAGTAAGTTTCAGCTCATTTAAATTCAAAGCACCCCATAGTGCTATGCATAAATAAAATTATCGCATCTTTCAGCGTGCACAGCTGTTTTCAACAATCCTTACCCACTTAGTCGTTTTCTGTTGTCTCGCCATGCTTGACGATTTCTCGACATGGAACACGCTTCTGATCACGGTAAAAAATTTTACCATAACATGATCAAAATTTTCAAACTTAGTTGCTCAATACAAAACGTACACTTTTTTCTGCCTTTTGTCTTTCAGTTGATCGGCCTCGGAATCTGTCCTTTCCAAATCCGCCGGATGCTTGTGGATTGTCAGGATCTCAATACGATAACTGCCTGGTTCTACCCGGGTTTTGTTGTAAGTCCATAACCGCAAGCCCACTGTCTATGTGGTTTGATTTATGATTACTTTAGATTAGACAAATCGTTGCCGAAACCATAGTTTTTATTATATTCATCGAAGAACTTGGCACCAGAGGTGAAGAAATGTGAGTTACTTTGGATTCTATAAAATCCGCTTCTAGAATCTTTTCATTCCAAAAGCAGGGCTCGTTTTGATCATCAATCTTATGGGCAAGGCTGGAATTGTGAATGGTTTGTTATGCCACAACCTTAAAAGTCAAACTCTTCAGCGATCGGTCTTGTAACTGTTCATTTTTGCAAAGAAGCCGGTTGCTAAGAAAACCTCGAAACGGCCAAGAGGTAAACGGACGCGTAAAAAAATACACGAATTTCAGCGTCTCTACAATTTCCGACGCGGAAGCTGGCAAATCAAAGCCACTGGTAGAGGAGATTTGCTGTAAAATTAAAATGTGAACTGTGACTTACCGTAATACTCTGCATGTAACTTGAAAAATAAAGGATCTTAAGCAAAAACCAGGGTTGAAAAGCCGCTTCGCGACTTTTCACCCCTGGCCCCATGTATCCAATAAGAATTCACAACTTGAATAAAATTCTCTCGAACCACAACACCAAAAATGAAACAAACGCCTTCGGTCCCTTTACAGTGTGTGTCAAAACTATAGAGCCATCTATTTGAACGCTATTATCTCGGCCCTCGTTGAGTGTGCTTCCGGCCATTTGCATCGCGGACGCGGGGACGCCCCAGCCCGCACTGCGTCCGTCCGGCCCGTCCGGGACCCGTCCCAGCCCGTCCGCAATTTTTTATGCTAATTGCGCGGACGGGACGGGTCCGCGTCCCGGGCCGGACGGACGCGGACCGGACCCAAAATGAACAACCCTGCTCCGGGGTGACAACCTGGGCTGGTACCAAAGTGCCGAAATTAGCCCCTATCTATTACCCCCTAGTCAAACTATTACTAGGGGCTAGTCATGCCACCATTCGCTAACTAGTAATTCAATACAAAAATACCTAGTCAATTCTTGACTACCCCCTAGTCAAATTTTGATCACCCCCTGGTCAAAATGTGACTACCCCTAGTCAAACCACCTCCTGCATGATTGGTCGTGGTAAAAACGAAAGAAAATAAGGTGGAATTCTAGGGTAAAACCACTACAGAGCTTGACTACCCCCTGGTCAAATTAATATGAAAGTTTCTTCATGTTTCGTTTGACCAGGTGGTAGTCCACACTTGCAAGAAAATTTTCTCCCCAAACGTCGAAACTGAGCGTTTTTGGGCTTAACCAATCGAAAATTCACACCTTAATCTACCCGTACTCCAAAATCTAGCATCCGAGATAAATTTAGCGAGTTTTTATAATAAAAACCCTTTTTTCGTTGACCAGCCCCCCCTATCACCATTTTGCTCGGAGGTGGTTTGACTAGGGGGTAGTCACATTTTGACCAGGGGGTGATCAAAATTTGACTAGGGGGTAGTCAAGATTTGACTAGGTATTTTTGTATTGAATTACTAGTTAGCGAATGGTGGCATGACTAGCCCCTAGTAATAGTTTGACTAGGGAGTAGTCAACGTTTGACCAGTAGTTGTAAAATAAAATTTGGCACTTTGGTACCAGCCCTGGTCACCCTATAGATGCAAAACGCTGCATTCAAATAAATTTCTTTGGCAAGATGCCGGTGTTTGGCCGCAAATATCATAAATTTTTCATTTTAATCGAGTATAAAACACCCTTCAAGCGGTAGTGGGAAAGTATATAACTTAAATTAAAAAATTTAGCCTTCTGATCGCTGCCTACAGCAAATTCTTGACCGTTGGTCATTTCCATCTAAGTAATTTGCGTGGATAGGGTGATCCGGTTCCGCACCCTCACCCCCACGAAAAATGGAGGGGGTGACACCCCATCGTGCCATTCAGTCACCCCCAGGGGGTGAGCGGCGGTCACCCCCAGCGTGACCCTCTGGGGTGACCGCCCATATATAGTTTAGAAAGTATGCTAACGAAGGCGGTTTTGGTTGGCGATTTTGTGAAAAGTGGTATCTCGGAGGGCTAACTGGCTGTATTTGGGATCATTCGAACCGTAAAATTCTACTCTGCAATAATTGATATTGGGTTTTCATTATTAAGTCGGTTTGAAAAAGTTATACGAGCTTAAACTTCTTGGCGCCCGCTACGTACGGGAGCTGGGTGTGACACCGCGCCAGCTGCAGGTTTTCGATTGCGCGCCCCAGTGGCCCTCTCGCCTTTTCGACCAACTTTTCGCCACGTAACCAAGAGGAAAGAATGGAGAAGTAAGAAAGAATGCAACAAAGTGAGTAAATCAAGTAATCTTACTTGGTTCTTTCTCGAGCGGAGTCAAATAAAGTTATTTTACTTGGGGATGCGCTCAGCCCCATCCAAATAAATTAATTTTGTGCCATTGTATGCAAATAATCTTGATTTTTAATTGATTCTTAACATCTCTAGTCAAAACCATCATCGTCTTTATGGTTTATCAGCAACGAGCTGAATTCAACACTTGCCTTTTTTAGGCGATAGCGGCCCCTTTGCGAGGGTGTTATACCAGACATGGCTTCATATGAAAGCCGTGAGATGCCTTACATGGTGATCCAACAGAATTAATTTGGTAAGTTTTTATGCAATAACTGAATTTTTATACGCGGAACTCTGACAGTTTCTGGTGATTCTTAAAAATAAAACACTATAAGGGCCAAGCAATTTTAAGGTTTTTTCGGTGCTTCGCGGCCTGATCATGCTCACAACTTGGAGTGGAGCGAGCGCCAAGGCGGGTTAGCTCGATGTAAAAGAAAAAGCATTTAACGGTTATTTCAGTGGTCAAATAACGTTAAGTGTTTATTGGCGTAAATAAGTGACAATGTATAATATAATAATATAATTCAAGGTAAAGGTAAGGTCCAAGGTAATGCCTCGCTGTTGGAAGCGGAGGCTGTTGGTTGAAGTGAAGTCCCCCGTTCAGCGGTGGACTTATATAGAGCCGGGTGGCACGATGTTGGGCAACCATGAGCAATGTTGATGCCATTTGGAGTATGATGTGTAGAGAGACGGCCAGAGAGGATTGTGTCGAGACCGGTTTGGTCTTGAGGACCTCCGTTTCGGGAAAGGACCTTTGCAGGCCTTTCTGTTTGTAGTTCTTTTACTAGTTCTTTCTCCCTCTCTCTTACTCACATTACCCGGAGCTGACCGGAAGGACAGCTCCTTTTCGCTCGATAGTTGCGAGATTGGGGGCCGGCGAGAAACCGTCGATAATGGATTTTTGTTTTTCCACAACAAATAGCCCGGGGGCTTTTGAGGGGGTCCCCTGTATCGAACTCATTCTCTCCGTGTATTCTTTGCCAACCATGGCGGCAAGTCTCCCCGGCGCGATTATCTTACTCTGGATGCTACCAAACTACGTCCACGCTCTGAATTTTATTCTGTTGGAAGGCTGTCCTCGGTGCGACTATTGTCTGTGTATCTCAGGGTTAGTGTCTCCTTACTGACCATATTGGTTACTTTTGAGGGTTTCGCCTCTCTATTTTCACGAGTGCATCGCTTTGTCGACCCTGCGACTCTCTCCGTTGGCCTGCTTCCTAGATCAAACTTCCGAAACGCGGCTTTGGGGAGATCGGTTGGTGTTTCCCTAACTGAGCTTATACCAAACGTTTGCTTTTTAGCGCATTTGGCGGGACCCGTTGCAATTGGGAAATTCGCGCAAAACTTCCGGATGAAAAGCATGATTTTGATTTACTGGCTGTCACCCCTGTTTTGGCTACTACTCCCTCTTCGTCCCTCCCTATTGACACGGTTTCCGACCTCATTCCCACCCCTTCTTGCCCTGAAGTGGCGGAGTGCGCAGTACCGATTTTTCCTTATGTTTGTTTATGTGTCTCGGTCTATGCTCACGTTATCGCCATTCTAGTCGTTCTTTACCGAAAATATGCTTTGCGCGCACCTATCGTTGCTCCTGAATTGCCGGCCAATGACCCTGTTGGTGTCCATATCCCGCTTCATGACATAGCCCTCGACTGATTTGTTCCGAGAATTCGTTTATTGTCAATCTTGCGCGTAAGGATAAAAGCAAAGGCCAAGCGGTTATCATAATGAAAAAAAACGGATGGAATTACTAAACGGAGGGGGGTCGACTAACGGAGGGATCGGTCGCTGCAACTACTTAGCTCATGCGCTTCTTGTGGCTTGGCGGGGCGCCTTGTGGTTCAGGGACAGAGGAGGGTCCTGGGTTTGGGCCGGGGTTCTCTAGCAGGGTGCATAATACTCTAGAATGCGCCAAGCCATTTTGACGACACAATTCTTGTCGGCAAGTGTGTAGAAATGTCAAGTGACATGCGCCTCTCTCCTGGGTTTTGAAGTGGGTTGCGCAATCGCTTTCAAGGCACATAAAACACAAATTTTTAGAAAAACAAAGTTCTCGCCTCTGCACTGCCGTTCCGCTGGGTGTCGGGCAGTCCCTGGCCAGATGTTCCCCTGAGCTTGCACAAAAGAGACAAATCTCTTTCAGGCGTTTCGCCGTCAGTCGCCCGGTGCGCACCTCCCGTTCCGTCTTGTTGATTTCCCTGGAGATCTTGAGGATCATGTTGATACTTGCTGAAGAGGGCGGCGGCTCGCTCATATCTGGAAAACAGGCTATACCCTTAAAGCACAAATATTACAGTTTTTGAGACTTATGGAAAACATTTTTGATTGGCAATGAGTTTGTTACTTGGAAAAGAATGGTACTCTGACCGAGACGGGAAACTCCGAAAGGTTGCTTGAAGTAGAAAAATGATACTTCCACTCACTCCTTCGGGTGCATTTATATACTGTGGTTCCCGTATTCCCTTATGGTTTTTGCGAGTCCGCATGACTACCCATTTTTGGTTGTCAACTTCGTTCGCAACATTTTTTACCAATGGCCTCCGTCCTATGCTGACTCGTTTCTATTCCTTCCCTTTTTCTAGTGTGCTGCCCTTCTTTTTGGTAGCCTGCCCTCAAATTTGTCGAGAGACCTTTTTTGTACCCACTTGTGGCGGTGTTCGTTGCCTTCCTCAAATTTGATCAGCCTATTCTGCCGACTCTTTTTGCTCCCCACATTAGGCCTTCTCCTACTCCCTGTCCTTGCCCGGTGTCTGTTTGCTCTTAGCGAAAAAACTCGGGTGCATTTGGCATACATTGCGATCTTTTTTGCAAGATTTCTCCGGGGTTGTTGATTTATTCAGCACAAGAATCAAAGCAAAAAAGACTCAATTTATTGGTATCTTTAGTCGCTCGGGCACAGCTTTCGGGCTCACTCATTGAACAAATTGTCCTCGATTTGGAAGTCGATGCCGCACTCTTTTTCCTCCTTCGGCTTTTCTTTTGGTTCTTCGAACGTTTTCTCTGGTATTCTGCGCTTTTTCTTGTTTGCCTTATCCGGTTGCACTTCTTTCTT